CAATGTTTTGGCAATACTAATTTGTGGTTGAGAGACAGACAGACACACACACACACACAGAGAGAGAGAGAGAGAGAGAGAGAGAGAGAGAGAGAGAGAGAGAGAGAGAGAGAGAGAGAGAGAGAGAGGGGTGCCTTGATGAAGGTATTTGAAGCCCCGAACAACAGAAGTTAAATGACTTGGGAGGTGGGCTTCGGCCCTGTCTGTAAAGACTAACCCGTACTGAGAAGGTTACATCATCTTAACAGAAAGTATGAGATATTGGATAAAAATAATTCCTTCACGGGAATCGAAATCGGGTCTTCTACATGCAAAAAAGAAGCACCCAACAGCTAGATCATAGACACCGATAAAGACGGAGATAAAGAAGAGCATTCATTGAAAATTGAAATATGGAACAGTAATCCACCAGAAGTTGTGCTGAGTTGAGTTGTGGACAAATGTGAGAGAGCCTGACAATGGTCTCATTTCGCCAGGAGGCAGAATCAGACAAGACAATTAATAGCAATCATACCAGTGACATAATAAGAGCTTCCCAAAAGATAAAAGAGATGGGGGAGTCAAAAAGTCCACTCTACAGAAATTTTTTCCACTGTGTTCAGACATAGCAGTGTAAAACCAGAAAACAAACAAAAACAACCATGCCTGGGATACTGGAAAGAAAATGTTATGAAGTCGACGTCTTTTCAAACAGGACTGTCGGCAAAACCAATGTTACGTACATTGAGTGTAGAAATATTCTTCATGAGGACGCTCCCATGTACAGAGTCCCTTTTCTCGATGCCCAGTCTTGTATGAATAAAACTGGAGTAATAACCGTTGTTTTATAGACTTCAACAAATGTTAAGGACCACTTACAAACACTCTCGCAGCACAAACAGGTGAAAAGCAAAACATTTGAAATTCCAAAGATAGTTAATGGAATCATTTTTCAACAAAAAACGTTCAGAATGATGACGTCACGAACTTAGGCAATATATCACTCGGAACAACAGCATCCCTCAAAAGAAAAATCCAGGATTAGTGTCCATGTCAGTCCGTTCAAAAACGGGTATACCCAGCACGCCGTACTGTACTGTAGTATAGGGTTTTACGGCGCTCGCAACTGCTAAGATCATATGAGCGCGCGAAACACAAGTTGTTTACTTTCGCAAAAGTTCACTCCATGACTGGACAACTAATTGTCTTTAAAATGCTAAAATGTTTAAATATTAAAATTCAGTGTAAATATATTTGTGATTTAAAACAACTCTTAGGTAACAATAAAAAATTTAAATAGTACGTTTTCATTTTTCATTTTACATCTTGCCATAAAGGCCAATGGCCTTTATAAAATTCAAGATTCTGCTGGGAACAACGACGGAAAAAATATCTTGCAATTTCTTGCATTTATAATATTTCCTTCGGATCTCTCCAAAGTCTAGACATTCGGTTAAGATGTGTCTAATGGTAAAATCT